ACCGAGAGACGACTGTGGGAGTCGGCCATAGGGTTGTGTCTTAGGCTTATCCTGATGAGGAGCCAGAGGCTTGAAATCCGACTGAGGAGTCGAACCACCTAGGCTCTTGAGAGTCGACTAGGTTTTTCCAACCCTCTAAGGGCGAAAGGTGAATGTAGGACCCGACCAAAAAGTTGTGCCTTGGACTTATCCTGAAAAGGAGCTAAGGGCTTGCCATGATGGTCGATGAGAGCTGGAGGAATCGAACCATATGTTGTGCTTTGGGCTTACCCTGATAAGGAGCCAAGGGCTTTGAAATCCGACTAAGGAGTCGAACCACCTAGGCTCTTGAAAGTCGACTAGGTTTTCCCATATGGCCGAGAGACGATGGTGGAAGTCGGTCAAAGGGTTGTGCCTTAGGCTTATCCTGATGAGGAGCCAAAGGCTTAGAATCCGACTGAGGAGTCGAATACCTAGAACTACGAAGAAAGTTGACTAGGGCTTTCCTTATGACCGAGAGATGACTGTGGGAGTCGGCCATAGGGTTATGCCTTGGGTTTATCCTGATGAGGAGCTAAGGGTTTGAAATTCGGGTGCCAAAGGTGCGGCTGTGGAGGTCTTTGTGGCTCTGCCTGCCACCTTGTATGCTCGGGTATCTTCCATGTCCATGTATCCATGGGCGTTGGCCATCAATTGCTCAAAGCTGGCGACTGGCTTCTTAGCAAGAGAGTCGGCCAATGCATTGTTCTGCAAGCCTTCTATGAGCGCTGACATGGTGACCGCACTCCCTGGGTCATCGACTTCTAGCCTCTTGGCTTAGAATCTCTTGAAGTAGTCCCGAAGGATCTCTTCTGGCCCCTGTTTCATTTGGATCAGCACGTGAGGGTGAAGCTTCCACTTGGTATCAGCTAGGAAATGGTGGATGAACTTTCGGCTAAGTTGTCGAAAGTTTCTGATGGATCTCTTCTCGAGAGTGTTCCACCAGAGATTAGCACTCCTTGAAAGAGTGATAGGAAAGCACCGACGGAGAATTGCTTCTGAGGCTTGGAGCATACTCATCATATCATAATAATTCTAAACGTGCTCGGAGGGGTCTCCCTCGCCCTTGTATGTCTCTATGCGAGGTATTTTGAATTTCTCATATGGGATATTCATAAAGTCGTCTGAAAGGGGGTTGTTACTCCCAAAGACGCTTGCGTTCGGTCTATTGACTCGATCGTATCCAGAGGCTCTAATGGTAGCCGAGGGGACTGGAGAGGCACGGCGGCATAGAGTCTTAGAGACTGCTCCTTGCGGTTGTAGAAGTCGGCTGAGAAGCTGTTGCTTATAGTTGGGCTTGAGTAGCATAGCTCTGATGAGGTCCTCTAGGACGAGATTGCTCAGCTCTATCTTCAGATCCAGACATGTTCTCTCAAAAAAGAAAGAAGGCCCCACGGTGGGTGCCAAACTGTTGATGTTCGATATCACACAGACTATTAATCCAGAAGATGATGCTCGCGGGGTGATGAAGGATGATGAAGGGGATCTCTTCCTTTCCTGACTTTATGTCTGGCCACTGAGTTAGAGTTTGTGATCTGCACAGAAGAAGTCGTGAGAGGGCAGGGTGATGATTCCCCTGTGGTACCTCCGACGATCAAGTTAGTTGATAAACTTGAGCTTGAGTGGAGTAATAAAACCATGTGTTCTTATGCTATGTGCATTAGAGATGGTGATCTCACAGATTTAGATCAGGAGGAAAGTTTAGATTGCGAACCTGCCAACTTGTCCCCCTTTTTTATGGCGAATAGCATCTGTACTTATAGAGGATGCTAAAGGCAGATTGGTCACTTTATAAGTGTACTGTAAGGCGGTGGTGAGGGGTGAACTGGAGGTTGAGTCACCTTTTGTTATATACGTGTCGGTTTATGAGTGACTGGAGGTCACTTCAATGATATTGGGAGCCAGCAACCGACAAGTCTTCAGACGGCTGAGGACGGAGACATAATGATGATCATCAAAGGTTAAATAATGTTGAGAAGTAATATTCTGGATCGTCCTCGAGAGGAGTGTTGGCTAACCCTGAGTAGCGATCTTTTGATATGAAAAGGATCGACTGAGTTCGCCTCTCAATTCACCTTTGAGGAATGATGACGACTCGACTGAGGGAGTGACGGCTTGGCTGTCCTTCAGGTCGACTCCGAGGAGTGTTGAATCTCTGGGATGATGATTTTCGTACCGACTAACACTGCCTTTCGAGTCGGCAGATCGTGTCGGCTTGTCTGGCTAGTCGAGATGTCAACTCATCAGATCATACAATTAAAAACAATTGTACCCCATAACAATAGAGATACTCATAATCTTATGAAAAGCTCAAATATGGATCGTTAGCAACTTAGTTAGCCTCACCTATACAGTAGTATCGTAGGCTGCTAAACTCAATAATATAATATATATATCATATATATAATATATATATATATAGTATATATATAGTATATATATATATATAGATATTATATATATATAATTATATATATTATATATTATATATATATATATCAGATCAGTTATATATATATAATATATGAGTTTGATCATTCATCGCTTAAGATAATGAATTTTTTTGTCATCATGAGAAAATCATCCATGCATCATAATGTAGGATGCTAAGCTCATATGTATTAATCAATATGCACTGAATTATATATATATATATATATATAATATATTATATATATATAATATAATATATATATATATAGTTATATATACTATATAATTATATATATATATGATATATATATATTATAGTAATATCATAAGAGAGAAAAATGGAGAACTTGGTACCAAGTTGCTTTAAGCAACTGTAGTAATGTGACTCTAATTCTTGTCTCTACATCACATCCTGACATTACCTATATATATATAATATTATAATTATATATATTATATATATATATATATATATATAATATATATATATATATGAGAAAAAATAAAGAACTTGGTACCAAGTTGCTCCAAGCAACTTGTAGTGATGTGACACTAAATCTTCATCACTAGCATCTACATTAATTTTGGTGAAGGGCTATTCTAGGCTTTACTTTGAGTGTGATTAGGGGCACGATTAGACCGACTACTACAGTATTTTTAACAAACTTGATACCAAGGTTCTCCATCTCTGCTCTCTCTCATCGTCTTCCTCTCTCCTATAATATTATATATATATACTATATTATATATATATATACTTATATGTATATATATAATATATATATACTAAGATATATATATATATATAATATATATAATATATATATATATTATAATATATATATAATATAGCAGAGAGAGAGACGAGGAGGGAGAGAGAGGAGAAGATGGAGAACCTTGTATCAAGTTGTTTAAAATAAACTTGTATATATATATATTATATATAAATATATAATATATATAATATAATATATATATATTATATATAATATATATAATGTATCATATAATAGATACTATTATATATGGAAAAGTGAATCTAAGATGACACCCTAAGGCCTCCCAATCTAAGACCGGCGACGTAAATCGATCATCATTTCCTAAAAAATTATGCGATCCGCTCTGTTAACTTGATCTATGCTGCACGTTTAACACCAAACACACCAATTTTGGGGTGAACCCCGTTGTGTTTTCGACCATATTCGTGAGCCGGTGCAAAACGTTCTATTCCAATTCGAACCGTTAAAAATGCAGCGAGTGGAATAAAGGCGTCAAACCGACGGTTCACCCTAAAATATATGTCGTTTGGGTTTAAGAACGTTAGATCAGTTCAACGGGCGATCGTAAACAAATATAGGAAACTGATGTGAATTTAGGCCGCGTCCTAGTGGGAGCCTAGGTGTCACGATTAGATTTCACTTTTTCTCATATAATTAATATATACTATATTATATATATATATATATATATATATATAATATGTATATATATATACATATATATGTATATATATCTATATGTGTGTGTGTATATATGCGTAAATGAGGAATAAGTACAATATGCGGGAGTAATCTCTAATTTTTTCAAATTTCGCAAATTATATGCGAGTTTTCTATAATTTTTGAAGTTCTTTTTTACCTCCTCGAATTAAACTAGAATTAGAGAAATGAGTACAATTTTTATAGTTTTAGTGAAAAGAGTGTCTTCCTTTTGGTGCTATGTGTATAAGTTAGAATATGTTATAATCTTTCAAGTAATGGCTAAGTCGAGTTTAAGATTGCTCGTCTGGGCCATAAAACTTAGAAGGAAAGACAAATATCAAATAAACCTCCAGGTATGTTTGGCAAATCTATAGAATTTATTTTAGCTGATATAACCTTGGCCCAAAATCATATTTTTAGTTTGGTAAATGTTGGACCCAAGTTGAAATAGTTCCTTCTACTTTAAATTATAGACTTTAAACTAGATTCTCTCGTAGGCCAACCCTTAAATGTATCAACTTTGGTCTAGTACTTAAAGATAAACCTAGTCTAGCCTTGTTTAATTTTAAAGTTGCCAAACACGCCCTTACATCCTAGAACTCGAACAAGTATTAAGAATAAGAATTAACCTAAAAATGTATCGACTTGTTATAAATAACACCCTTTAAAAAAGAAAAAACGAGTGTCAAAACCAAAAGCTTACAAGCGTATCCAGCAACAGAGCTTAGACAGTTTCTTAAATTTATATTAGGTCCCAAAAAATCTGAAAAAAAAATACACCGATTCAGTTAAGTTCAAGAGTTTAGTTATATTATAATAACAATAAACAAAACCCAACATAACAATTAACAAGTCCAGAGGTGTGAAGCAGAAACGAGAAAATTTGGCGGCCTCAGAGACAATTTAAAAGCACTTAGGGTGGGCCTTTATGGCAAAAAACCCAAAGATATTACTATTTAACTATCGGGTGTCATGTTCGGGCAAGTCCCTGAGACACGGGTTCGGGTCTAATAACCTATCCATTAAACAAGGGCAAACAAGTAATTTCATAAAACAAAGACCCAAAACCCTAGCAATCTATTCCTCTATAAAATCCTCGCCCTCTTCATTTTTGCTCAAGCCGTCGCGTTTCTTTCACCGAAGATGTCGAAGCGAGGTACTTTATTTTTAGGGTTTCAGTTTTCACGCATTTTTCTCTCAATATAAATATATTTATGTAATTCTCTTTTTGTTTTAAAAGATCTGTGCTTTATGCATCATGATTTTAGGGATCAACGGATTAGTTGTCAAATCTATCTCATTTTGGTCATTTATTCCTACTTTCTAACTACGATTTTTTCGACCCCGTGTTTTTATCTCATTGCCGATTAATTCATTCATGCAGCCCTTTTCTTTGTGGGTAAATTAGTATGTTTTGGATATTGATCTCTAGAAATCAAGGGATTGGTTGGATCTGTAGAAGTGCTTGGATCTGTAGTGGTCCTTGAATTTAATCTAAAAATCTCATTTGGACGCGAAGACTGATTCCTACTTGTAAGGAGCAGTATATTGCAGATTTGGCGTAAAAAACCTCGGTTTGAAAGATGTTTATTCTTTTTAAAGTTGTGATCATTATTTGTTAATTGTGAAGATTAACACTTCTTAGGCTTGACCTAGAAATCTCAAATTGTGATGTTTTAAATAGTGACAATTACGTATAAAGTTATTAGTTAAATCTGTAGGTTAGGCCTCCAGAGATTTGACCTAAAAAAATCTCATTTTGCAATGTAAAATTCACACGTTAACGTTCCTTTAATAAATTTCAGGACGAGGAGGATCGGCCGGAAACAAGTTCCGGATGTCGCTGGGTCTTCCGGTGGCCGCCACCGTGAACTGCGCCGACAACACTGGGGCCAAGAACCTTTACATTATCTCTGTGAAGGGCATCAAGGGGCGCTTGAACAGGTTGCCTTCAGCTTGTGTTGGTGACATGGTGATGGCCACTGTGAAGAAAGGGAAGCCTGATTTGAGGAAGAAGGTGATGCCCGCTGTCATTGTCAGGCAAAGGAAACCTTTTCGCCGAAAGGATGGTGTTTATATGTACTTTGAAGGTATACCCATTCACAGAATATTTGAATATTTGTCGCTTCTATGTCAATGACTTGCCTATTTCTGTTAACTACTTAGACTATAAACTACACTTGGATTGTTGCCATTGGTACATTTTTTATGAATAAGTCACTTTTTCAGGTTGTTAATCTGTACATTCACAATACCAATCAACCTTCTTTTTCTTGCTTATTGTAAATGGACTGTTTTGAACATGTCATGTGTAACGTATATGTATGCTATTTCTTAGTTTATTTATTTGACATTGATATCCTATAATATTTTGATGTTTCTACTCATATATAGCTACTGGCGATGATTGCTTTTGGCTACTGAGTTTAAATGTCTTTAATAATTCATCCAAGCTATCATGGGTACCAGCATTGTTTTTCCCAAATTAAGTTGTCAAGTTGTGGCCTTTGTTGTGACGGAGGAGGTGAAAGACTCCTTAGCTTACTGGAGCAAACCAATCATATTTGCAAATTCCTGAGTAAACGTCACATATAAAGCTTATGGGTGTTGATGGTTTTTCCTGAAGGCTACGGTCATCAGGGAATTCCTCTGCCTAAAAGCGGTCTCATATTCCATTGCCTGGAGGAGCAGCATCGCTGCCATTACCTGTTGGGACTGGCCATGAGACAAACACTTTCACTTCTTTCAGAAATAGTAGAGAATAATTTGATTTTTGTTTGTAGGTTTTTGATTCCCTTTACTTCCCAATTCAAGTTGTCAAGCTGTAGTTGTTTTGTGACGGAGGAGGTGAAAGACTCCTTAGCTTACTGGAGCAAACCAATCTTGTTTGCAAATTCCTGAGTAAACGTCACATATAAAGCTTATGGGTGTTGATGGTTTCTCCTGAAGGCTACGGTCATCAGGGAATTTCTCCGCCTGAAAGCGGTCTCATATTCCATTGCCTGGAGGAGCAGCATCGCTGCCATTACCTGTTGGGACTGGCCATGAGACAAACATCTTTCACTTCTTTCAGAAATAGTAGAGAATAATTCGATTTTTGTTTGTAGGTTTTTTATTCCCTTTACTTCCCAATTCAAGTTGTCAAGTTGTAGTTGTTTTGTGACGGAGGAGGTGAAAGACTCCTTAGCTTACTGGAGCAAACAATCATGTTTGCAAATTCCTGAGTAAACGTCACATATAAAGCTTATGGGTGTTGATGGTTTCTCCTGAAGGCTATGGTCATCAGGGAATTCCTCCGCCCGAAAGCGGTCTCATATTCCATTGCCTGGAGGAGCAGCATCGCTGCCATTACCTGTTGGGACTGGCCATGAGACAAACATCTTTCACTTCTTTCAGAAGTAGCAGAGAATAATTCGATTTTTGTTTGTAGGTTTTTGATTCCCTTTACTTCCCAATTCAAGTTTTCAAGTTGTAGTTGTTTTGTGACGGAGGAGGTGAAAGACTCCTTAGCTTACTGGAGCAAACCAATCATGTTTGCAAATTCCTGAGTAAATGTCACATATAAAGCTTATGGGTGTTGATGGTTTCTCCTGAAGGCTACGGTCATCAGGGAATTCCTCCGCCCGAAAGCGGTCTCATATTCCATTGCCTGGAGGAGCAGCATCGCTGCCATAACCTGTTGGGACTGGCCATGAGACAAACAACTTTCACTTCTTTCAGAAGTAGTAGAGAATAATTCAATTTTTGTTTGTAGGTTTTGATTCCCTTTACTTTTCAACTCAAGTTGTCAAGTTGTAGTTGTTTTGTGACGGAGGAGGTGAAAGACTCCTTAGCTTACTGGAGCAAACTAATTATGTTTGCAAATTCCTGAGTAAACGTCACATATAAAGCTTATGGGTGTTGATGGTTTCTCCTGAAGGCTACGGTCTCAGGGATGTCCTCCGCCAAAAAGCAGTCTCATATTCCATTGCCTGGAGGAGCAGTGTCGCTGCCATTATCTGTTGGGACTGGCCATGAGACAAACAACTTTCACTTCTTTTTAGAATTTTTAGAGAAAATCTTTTTTTATTTGAGGTTTGTCCCCCCATGTTTTCAGCTATGTTTGCTTTTCATTGCCTTTAGTTATCCCCTTATATTTTATTCTGTATTTCATTTCAATATGTTGAAGGAGGAGGTTTTTCAGGCTTCTTAGCTTTACTGGAGCAAACCACATTTATGTTTGCAAATTCCCAAGTAAACGTCACATATATAGCTTTTGGATGTTTATCGTTTTTCCTGTAGGCAACTTCAGGGAATTTCTCCTTCCAGGAGCGATCTCATATTTCATCGCTTGGAAGAGCAGCATCGCTTCCATTACTTGTTGGGACTGGCCATGAGACAAACATTTTTCCCTTTCAACATTAAACAAATGACATTTTTTGAAGTACTTTCCAAATATTTTGAGCTTTTTTAAAACTAGTTTTTAGTTAAAGACCATGCTTAAGGATGGTGGTTGTATGTGACTTTTCACATTGTCCTTCGTGTAATTATTTGTCTCATGTATTGTTTAATATTCCTAAGGATTTTTTGCTGTGTTAGAATGCGTTTTTCAACAAAAAGTTATTAAATTATGTTTATATGTAGTACTTCTGTCTTTTTTACTGCACAATCTTGTAGTCTTTTATTTTTACTAATTTTCATGTTGTCCTTGTTATTTTCCATATCTATTTTTTAGTCTAGCCTATGTCTAGTCTTTCCTGTGACAGAGGGGTTTTTAGCTTCCTTAGATTACTGGAGCACACTAATAATGGTTGCAAATTCCTGAGTAGATGTTATATATAAAGCTTTTGGGTGTTGATGTTATTTGCTAAAGGCTAATATGTCTCCAGAGAATATCTCCACCCGAAGTGGTCTCATATTCCCTGGCCTTGAGTAGGAGCAGCATCGTTGCCATTATCAGTTTATGAAAAAGATGATTTTCTCTTAAAATATACCATGTTATTTTTACTTGTCATTTTTTTTAAAATGTCATGTGGGTATGGAGATTTTTCTGGGTATAGTCTCTACTTGATTGAGATTACTGACCATAGTTTTGTGTTCTTAAGCAGACAGCTCAAATGAGGTTTTTGTTTTTGTTTGTTCATTTTTCAAGAAACTAACCCTTAGTCAATTGAATGAGTATTTGAAATCAGTTTGCAAATGCATTTTTGTATTTTGTCATTTAAGCTCTGCTATGTGAAAGTACTTATGCCATCCAAACACCAAATCTGTTGATTGTTTCACAAATGATTTTGTTGCTTCTTTACAGTAGAGTGACCAACTACATTTGGTCATTTTTCAGTAAGAAGCATAGAGTTGAGAAAGCCAGTTTTAAACAGCGTGATGTTTTTTTATCGTTGCATTATGCTACCTGTCTTCTGGTAAATAACTTTCCTTGGATCGTTATTGCTAATTTGATATTGAACTGTACGCTTGCATAATCATGCCTTATTTTCTTGTATTACATTTCTCCAAGTGTAAAGATCCATCATTCTTCTCTAGCGTGTAAGATGTGTTTTATGTGCAAAATTAATATTTATATTGCTTATTGTGCAGATAATGCTGGTGTTATAGTAAATCCAAAGGGTGAAATGAAAGGTAATGTTTGTTTATATCTACCTTCTCTGTTGTATCTTTTGATTTATCATCTAAAAACATGTATATCTTTTCTTTTTGATGAATCCTTTTCTAAATCAAACACTTATTTTTGGTCATGCAGGATCTGCTATCACAGGACCCATCGGAAAGGAGTGTGCTGATTTGTGGCCTAGGATTGCAAGTGCAGCGAACGCCATCGTCTAGTCAATCTACTTAATATGTTTATTATTTGGGCTGGATATGAGTTATATTGTTATAAAACATAATTCAAGGTTTTAGTTGAAGTTGTTCCCGAGACTAGTAAGCAAATTTTGGCTTTGTTAACTATGGCTGTGGCTATAACTTCCTGTGTGTTGTCATTCTTTCTTGTTATCCATTGAGTCATATGAAGTACAATTTCTGTTCTGATTTTCTTTTTTGCCCATAAAATGGAGTGTTTTTATGTCTTGAGAGTGATAAAAGTATACTCGGTAACTTAAAGCCATCGCTATTGGATCCTAGTAGATCGATTATAGATGTTTGCATTAGAACGATTGATTTGGTTCAAGGCGATCGTCATGCGGGAAATGCGTTATTAGGCATGCTGACGTGCATCTAAATTCCTTTCTTTGAGAATTCCAAAATTATGTGCTATTCGCTAAGTCATATTTGATGCCATTGATTTCATCAGAAAGCATATATCATAACCAAGTTGCTAGCGAGTAGTTGTATTTGAAAGGGTTGACGCCAGTGATGTGTGCTAGAATGTCAGAGGGATCAAAAGGGTCTTCTTCCTTCACCAAAACCTTCAACTGTAGCTAAAGAGATCAGCAGAGCAATAAATAGTCTGTGAGAACGTGTTTCATAGAATCTACTTCATCAGCTTCATCACACTCATTGTGACTGGAACCGGCTGTTGCCGGCCTCCTCGTTCTTCGCGAATCTCCCTCTGACACGAGGTCGGCTATCCGCTAGGGTCTTTCGGTGCGCGTACTGTGATATTGTTCATGAACGTGAGCTTGTGAACATATAAACGCACCATTTCCTACACGCTTTAAAGGAAACGGGGGTACCTTAACTTTTTTGTCGAAGTTTCTTTCATTTCTTTTCTTGATGTACCTGTGGATCTTCTTCCTTCTTTCCTCAGCGGAGATACGGCCTGCCTTGCTGGTCCGGTCGTCCGGAGAGTGTACGTCTGTGACTG